GGCTAGGCCACGCTCGCCGAGGAGGCCCACCTCATCCACGGCTAGGCCACGCTCGCCGAGGAGGCCCACCTCATCCACGGCTAGGCCACGCTCGCCGAGGAGGCCCACCTCATCCACGGCTTGGCCACGCTCACCGAGGAGGTCCATCTTATTTACGGCTTCCCCGCACTCACCAAGGAGTCCTGCCTCTTTCATGGCTAGACCACACACACAAAAAAGCCCCCCCGCCTCATCCACAGCTTGCCCATGCTTGCCAGAAGAGCCATGGGACACACAGGCCACTTCTGGGAACCTCAGTGTATTGGTGATATTTTATCATTGAAACAAACAAACCTATAAATGCTTTGGCTTGCTAGAAGAAAATAAAAAAGATTTACTGTGTTGTATTTGTAAAAGTGGAACAGGGAGAGGCAGCATTTTGTCAAATGGGCCCCTGAATTATAACTTCATTAGTTCCAAAAATCATCTCCAAGCTAGAGGGGAGAAACCATATATTGTAAACCCTCTCCTCATGGAAAATATATGGACAAGGCTAACAGGACAGAGGATGAAAATAAACAAAACCATATTTCTGCCTGACTAGGAAACATAGGATGACAGGAAACAGCTCAACTACCTAAAAAGTCTTTTAAAGAGTCAAAGAAAATTGTATACAAATGTTTATCAATCCATTTTCTATAACTGCTTGTCCTATTCAGGGTCACAGGGAATCTGGAGCCTGTCCCAGAGGCTATGGGTGCAAGGCAGGGAACAACCCAGGATGGGGCACGAATCCATCACAGGGCACATTCACACATGCACACTTATGCAAACTCCACACACATGGAACCCTGGCGGAGACTTGAACGCAGGTCACAGAGGTGTGAGGCGACAGTGCTGACCACCCTCCCACCCCTTACAAATGTTTATATTTAAAGGAGAAATATAGGTTATATAATACAAGAAATATATTTACAGCAATTACATCTCACAGTGGCAGTGACTGATTGAAGGTCTAGACAGGGCACATTTAAAAACAAGACATTAATGAAGCATGAATTGCTTTATTGGTGTAATATCGCCAGTGGTCTGATTCACAGTCACCCAATTTCCACGGACGCGCCTGTCCATTCCCAGTACACCTAAAAGGCTGATTAGCTGAGACATCCCGAATGGACCCACCCTGTCCACAGACTGAGGGGTAGGGTGACTGCCAGATTATTGTTGAGAACAAATGTGAGTACTATTTATAAATAGATTAAATGATCATACAGATATAATTATGAATATCCACCACATAATTTTGAGGCAACGTAACATCTGTCTAGTATCCAAAATGGATCAACTGCTGTCTGCCCTTATCTCATAGTGCAGGGCCAGAACGGTCAGCTCTCCGCAAGAGATGCAACCCTATCACAGTGGGCACTGAACACTTCCTCCTCACTGGGGATGAGTATTTAGACAGAGCTGTCTCCCAGGTAGATGTATAGCATTTTCCACGAGAAAGTCTGCCAAAAACTGTTGTACTTCGAACCTCTGGGAGAAAAGTTTCTCACACACAAAATGTAGCATTTGTGTGATTAACAATTGATATCCCTGCTAACAACGGTGGATTATTAGATTTACAGTATGAGTCTTTGAAGAGGGAAAATCTAAAAGCTAAAAATATTAAATAAAGATCACTAAAGTATTTTTTTCTTTATCAAAAGAATGTGAAGCGATGTGTTCTCTCCATGGTGTCTTGGGATGGGAGTTTTTCCCCTACGCTATACCGCTACAAGGACAGGACCTGAAGCTGCCTCGTTGTTTGCAGCTGACATCGATGATGTCCTTCAGTAGCAAACTTCAACCAGTTACTGGCTGCTCAACCGATCTCAACATCTCAAGAGGCTGACCCACCCGCTGATCGACTTCCAAACTTTCCAACAAAGATTTTTTTTCAGTAATACTATCTATGAATGCCTTGTCTATAGGAATCCATGAACACATTCATAACACATAATGCATTCATTATTATATTTACCATAAATATTTATAAAATAGGTACACAGCAGAGGGGTGTCAGAAGGTGAAGCCCGTGTTTACCAGGCGTCGTGAGGCAGGTTCAGCGTGATGCTGCCTTTGATGCTCTCCCCAAAGTGGAGGTATCCCAGCGTGGCCAAGGTGACATACAGCACTATGACGATCCCCATGCCGATGTTCAGTGCCTGGGGGAATCGCTTTGGCGCCCTCATCTGGTTCTCCAGTGGCAGGACCTGGGCACAAGGAAGACTGACTTGGGTCAACTCCATAACGATGAATCTGGAGGACACAACCCCCCCCCCATTCCACCATATCCTCAACCACACTGTCATGTGTGAACAGAAACCCTCAGCCCCATAGCAATGTGCGCAGACAGGTGACTCATCATCATACCACTATGGCTTCCGAATAAAGTAACATAAAGGAAATCTTACAACAGGAGAGAAAATGATCATCTTTGACGTACAAAGAGGGGGAGGAGAGCCCCCCTGTCGCTAAATTTCCTGAGCGTGGCTTCCAAAGCCCGCTAATGTCTGTTTCTCCCGGCTTCTGCCCTCTTCTTCACCAACGGTAGTTTTAATTAAAGGAAACGACACGCCGAATTTGTTCATTTCATAGGGATAATTGCAGGGAAAATACAATTTTGGTGTCTGCGGCTCTGCGCGTTCCAGATCGAAGCGCGTAGCGTTTAATTAGCGCGAGGCTGGTTCCAGATCGAAGCGCGTAGCGTTTAATTAGCGCGAGGCTGGGTGAGTACTTACCTGGGCCTTTTATCGCCTGAAGGCCGTACCAGGAAGTGACACTGCAAATTACACGTCAAACCCAATTTGCCGGGTTCTAGGGTTGAGTGATCTTGTGTCAACTGGAGAAAACATCCCCCCTGCCCCCCACCACCCCAAATTAATATCACCATCCTTTCATCGAACAAAAATATTCTTAACGCACCCATTGAGAATGGAGATTGCACCACAACAGCGGGATTTGGGGAAGTTTCTCTCACACGTTCTTTACATGCAGCTGATGACTCATGACAGGATGGGAATATCCCAGAATATTCATCCATCACAGATGCCAAAGCATTCGTCTGCTATTTTTTAGTATATATCCACAACTGTCCTTGATGGTGCAAACATGTGAAACGTCATTTATTAAATTACCCAGAGGGGAATATACAGACTCTGTGGATAAAATAACGTACACTCTCAGCAAAAAGGGTATACATTTGTACCTTTGTTTGTCACTGAGGCTGTACCCTCAAGGGTTTGCCAAATTATACCCCACAGCTGTAGGAAATGGACTCTGAGGAACAATTCTGTACCATTGATGGAACATTAATGCTATATGTACCTTTGGGATTTTCCTCAGAGTCCATTCCTGTATCTTAAAAGGTACAATTACAAGGGTACAGCACCAGTGACAAGCCAAGGTACAAATTTTTACCTGATAATTCTGAAAGTGTAGGGGAGAGTAACAGATAGCATTATGGGTAGCAAGTGCTGCATTTCACCGGCCTAAATCCCAGAATGCACCACATGTAAGAATGCTTATCTGAGGCTTCACAAAAAGAACTATGAGGAATTATCATAATGAGGTCCCAGTGGATGGCACACGAGTTCCATCTGTTACCTTGATAAATTTGGAAGCTCTCTAATCTATGAAAACAATATTTTCATCTGAGAGAAATCAATTGAAATGCATATTCACAGGAAAACACAAAAGCTAAGTTGATGCAAGCTTAACATCAAAATTTACCTACTTTTATAAAATCGCATTTCAAATACACGTATTTATATATAAACGCATAAGAAATAAACCTTTTCCTGGGGTACTAAACATAAAGCTACTCTGGGGAACAGGCTCCCCACCCCCAATTATCCATATAATATTGGAAAGCTGAACGTCAGATTTTACTGGGGTACAGCACATACATACTGGGGTACAGCACATACATACTGGGGCACTTGCCCCAGTGAACGGGGTCTGGCAACGCCCATGACCTTAGAAGAACTTCCCTAAGAAGTTCAAGTAAAAGTTGGCAATAAACAAGAAAAAAATAATCAAGATTAAAACAAAGTCACAGGATGTTTCGGGGGGGGGGGGGGGGGGNAACATGGCGCCACTGTGCCCCTGGCTCTGAAAGCGTCACGCATGCCCAGGGAGGGTGTTCAGCCACTAAGACCCCCAGTATGTGCATATTTAAATGCCAAGGGACTGGGCGTGTGCACATATCACCTCAACACATGTGTAAGTGTGGGTGCTGAGCCTGTGTGACAGGGGGGGATAATGCAGATTAAGATGTAATGAGGATCCCTCACACCATCCAACTGTGACGCAGGCTGTTACTCTGCAGATTAAATGTGCTTTTCACTAACGTCAAACAAGAAAAGCAGGCAACAAAATTAACATACAATGGAAATGTTGTTGAAAAAAAAACACGGTGAATGATACATCAGTAACACTTTACTTGACAGGGCACACATACTTAGTACTAACTCAGTATTGAAGCACAAATTATGAACAAATCATGAACAAATTAGCAAAGTTGCTACTTGAGAAAAGATGCATCATGATTCATCAACGATAAACAGACATGAGATTTTCGCTTGTGTTAATCATGACTTGTTCCTTCAGTAGTTCACAAAGGTTTACAGAATTAGACACAGTAACAAATAAAGTAACTGCTTCAGATAAAAGACATTTATTAATGATGAATTAACATGAGATCAGTATGAAACTAAGATGCTGATACACCGTGTTGCTGCACCCACCAAACAACAAGCCACCTTAGGGATTAGAACCTGAGTGCAGCCGTGTGGCAGGTGACACCTCAGGACTGAAACTGACAGCTCACACACCATGACTGATGCAGCAACAGCATGGTTATTTGCCTCAGTATGACCGAGGCACTGGGAATGTTGGGAAGGGGAGGGCAGGAAGATCCACATGACCCCATTACCGCGACGCCCCCTCAGGCAGCCCCATCCAAAAACACCTCTATGGCATTTATCACTTGAGGCATGAGAAAAACAGGGAATTTTTATGATGTATGACTGGAGGGAGGAGTGGTGGCTCTGGGGCCAGGGATCTGTGCCAGCAACTGGACGGTTTCTGCTTCAAATTCAGTGAATGCCGAGAGTGATCCTACTCTGTCGGGCCCTTGAGCAAAGGCCCTTGACCTGTAATTGCTTCGTCCTGGGTGTGATGTTAATCTACATCCAGCCCTATAAGGACGTCCTCCAACTTACAGGGAATAACTTGGGGGTTGGTGGCTCCAGCCACGGGAAAAAAACCTCACACTGGTCCATTCGGACTAGTGTGGTGATGCATTCAGGTTCTCATCCCTGAGGTGGTTTGTCGTGTGGTGGGTGCAGAAAAGCGCTGTAATCAGTGCATGCTCCTTACCTCCTCTATGACTGCTCAGAGGGATGAGCGGTTAACGTACGCATAAAAAACAGCAGGCTGGAGGTGTGAGAATCTGCTACTTTACGGCGCGGTGGGGGCACAAACATCATATTTCTGAAGTCTGAAGTGTGCGTGACACGACTGAAAACGCGGCCAAGCCATGCAGTAACCTGAGTCGTGATATTAGCACAGAAATGAACAGACATGCATATTGCAGATGGCCCACATTACTACATTTCAGACATCCGGCCAAAGAAGATCAAAATACTTGTACTGCCCGACAGAAAAGACTGCATATGCACCATCACACCCTCAGAGGTTCAGTACGAGAGTCGGTAAGATCTGCCTGGCATACAGGCAGGTACGTTTCTTTTTCTAATCTGGAAACGATTTGTAAAAGGAGACCTGAGATGACAGGAAGTGCAAATTAAAAGCGCCATTCCAAAGCCGCTTAGAGCCGAGTTTTCCGGTTTATAAAAGTCTCCCTAAATCCGTCTGAGTGCGGGAGGCTTCTTGCTGAGACTCGGAGCCGAAAGCCCAAAGCGTGTCACACATCCCACCGGCAAAGTGGCTCCTGAACACAGGGGCAAGATTAAACACCTTAACGCACCCCCAGGCTCCACTTTGGGGCCTGTAATTAGGACGCCAGCCACGCCCACTTTCTGAACCAAGAAGTGTGACGTTAATCTGCCCAGCCAATCAGCAACCTCCTTGTCCCTTTTCCCAGGTATAGCTCCGCCTCTAATTATTGGCAGGATCAGGAGCAAAAATTCCAGTTAAATCCAAGGAGCCAAACCATGAGTTATCCTTCACATTTAACACAACAACCCACGGTCTCTATCACACACAACACGAGTGATTGCATGAGGTGCTGAGCCGCCGGCTCTTACCCTATGCAGAGTAAAGCACACTAACTCACCAGTCATTTTTCTAGGTTTTCATGATTAACAGCATCCTCATGACCACATAAAGTCAGTGCTTCAATCAAGTTAAATGTCTTGGGAAATTTCTCATTCGAGAGTTTGCAATTGATCGGGAAGAAGCCCTTATTGTGATTCAGGTCTGAAAGGCACAGCATTAGACAAGGGAAATTATGGGCTAGAACAAATTAAAGCTGATGGGGACCTTTTGAAAGAAAAGACCTTGAGTAGAAGACAATGTGAAATTTATGATATACATAGTATGTATTTACCTGATCCGCATCAGACTGAACAATGAGAGATGACAAGGTTCAGGACTACAGTCAGTGCTAGCTGGACAAGTGGTCACACCATGCTGACCCAGAAACAAAAGATGACCAAGGAGAGGCCGACGAATCACGACCAGATCGGATGGTTCCCCAAAGCATCATAACGCAATGGGTTGGCTCCCAGCGCATCGTAACAAAACTGGTCTCAGTTCCGCTGCCTGGATGCTTCCTCGGAGTCCAGCTCTGTCTCAAATCTGAAGCCAGACCAACAGGGCGAAGATCAAAGCCACGAGAAAACCGCTCCTTCCGGGATACATGGCAGAGGCTAAAACGCTTAAGTAACACAACAGAAAAGGCCCACATTCTCCATGTAAGATGTGGTTCCTCATTCGCTTCCAGCTAGAACGCCCTCCCCGGTGCCCCGGGAGAAAACTGGAACAAATTCATTATGAAAGACATTTGCCTAGAGCTAAAACTGCCTGGCAATGTGACGGAAAGCAAAAGCAGAATCAAATGAAGACGAATGGGAAGCTGAAACCAACCAAATTCTCCATTAACCACCTCAACCCCATTCATTCATCAGCCGCATTCTCGTTTGACTTTCATTGGCATTAGCACGGGCCACACCGTCCAGAAAAGGTCTGTCCGCCACAACGTCCAAGAGCTCCCGCTCTTTCACATCCAGTCCTGGCTTGTACGCAAAATCCCAATCCCTGAAGCGTCAAAGCATTTCCCCTTAACAGAAACCAGTCATGCCATGTACGGGACTACCTTAGAAATACAATAATTGTACAGGATTCTTAGAGACATTAATTACTTATAGCAGAGCCAAGCACCAGGCAAAAACACCCAAAGCCCAAAGATGAAGGGGGGCCTGGGATTTCTTCCATTGTTAAACATCAGAAAATGAATTACTCTGCTGGACGTGATACACGGTCAGCTCCTTGCGTTCGGCTTCCGGAACTGGACTGAGATGTGTTTGTGTGCTGCAGTGGCAAATTACTTTGTCAATTCAAACAAAGGAATCGATACGGTTACAGGTGTGTTACATAACAATTCCATAACAGGGCTGTCTACCTCGACCTCTAACCCTCTCCCTTCTGCTGCTCAGACAGTACATTTCTGTGAGCAATCAGCAATAGGGACACGTTCAGTGACAGAGTAAGAGCAAGTACAGTGAGCCTTAAACAAACCTCTAATTTCTTTATTCCAGTAAAAATGCAGCTTCTGACAGCTGCAGAAACTTGCATTAGAGATGCATCTGGCGGGTGTCTGAGTGCAACCACGCATGTCGGGAGCTCCTGTGTCGCGTCTCCTGAAGCTGGGGACAGAACGTCAGGTCCTGAAGGTGCCTAGCTGGCTGCGTACTCCACCAAAGGTAGATAAATTAGGGCCAGCTGGGTGGATGACAGGGCAATGTGATGAGGGAGCAGCTACATCTTTGGTTATGTTTGTGTTTGGCTAGTTTTTACCTCGTGGCACTTGTGGAATATAAATGACTGAGACGCCACCCAGCGGAGTTGGAAAACAGACACCTGGCCCCATTTTGCACAAGGAGTATGGGGGTCTGCTTGATTGCTTACTTTTGATCACAACATCAGAGACTCATGGATGGAAACCTTTAGTGTTTCAGGATCCAACACGCATCACTTCCTTCGGTTCACATCCAGCCAAACGTTCAAAGCCAAGAGCTGACCCCCCTGGCCTGTTCTCCTGACTCTTGGGGGGATACATGGAGTCTCATACAGCTCCTTTAGAATGACATGCACTCACTAGCAGACTGAGATTTCAGCCCTGCTTGGATCTAACAGGCTCTGCTGGCCCTGGCTGCACCTCACCGCTAAACTCCAAATTTATTTTACCTCCCAGCTGATTAATTTCCCTGCTCTTCTGAGTGAGGACGTCTCTGCTCCTCGATCGATACATTAAAGTGTCGACTCATAAATCATCCCTGGCGGTTGTGGGCTAGTTAGCGTTACCGTAGACACAACATGATAATGCGTCTCCCGGGTTCAAATTAAACCCCAGTATCTTCACATGGTAGTGAAAAAACAGCACTGGGACAAGTTCTTCAGACAGTCCCAGGGTGGGGGCAGCTGCTGACAGCTCCTGGGGACGGGAGCCTTTTTTCAGGGGGGGGTGTACCAGCAGACGGTAATGACGGGCCTTTGAGGAGATGACGGCTACATACCACTCCGATTCCCTCGAAGGCAAAAATGGCTGTTCCAAAGAAAAAGGGAATCCTCTTCCAGCTGGAGACATAGGGGAGACGGTGTGGGTCCCCGACATCCTGTGAGAGAGACGCAGCATGAGGGCGTCGGGTCTAATCCTACACATTGTAGGTACGTCACCTCGGTGACGCTCCATTGAGAAATTTAAGAAAGCAATGCACTTTCTTATCAAGAGCAGGGCATGCAGAAGCCCTGCAGGTAGAAGGCCGTGGCTGAGGCAGCCGTGCCCCTAATTAACCCCATTTAAACATAATTCATCAGTGTGATTGATCAGCACAGTTTGGGACAGCATCCAAAAGAAAGTAGCCTGCTGGCAGCCTGTACAGACGGGCCACCCGCCCACAGATAAACACCAGAGAACCGCAGCCAATCAAAAAGAGCCGGGAAATTAACGACAGAGGGCTTCTGTGCCCCACTGAGCTCAAGGCAGGGGCCAAAAAGAGTAACAAAGGGCTTTTCAAAAGATCCATCCATCCGTTCATAATTACTACGAAAGCATAGACTAAAACATAACAGTAAAATATCAAACTTATTACAACAATTAATGGGGGTTATTCGTCAAAAGCAATTAGCTCTGATGGAAACCTCAATCACATATTAATAAACGGAAAGACCAAGGAAAGGCCGAGGTGGGGAAAATGTTTGGATGAGTGCCGCTGTGTCCCACGAGCGTGAGAACCACGGAGCTGTAGCGGGGCCTTACATTCAGAATGTACCGGAAGATGACGAGCAGGCTGACGGCCATGCATAGGTTGGCCAGGAAGGACAGCACGGCCATGCTCCGGAGGTCTCTGACGAAGACCAGCAGCACGAGGAAGGGCAGGAAGAAGAGCATGTAGAGCCGCAGGTCCAGGGCCCAGGGCTCGGGGCCCGTCTCCATGGTGACGTTGCCACCACTGAAGCCACGGGGGGGCGACTCCGTGCTGTTTCCCCAGTACCCCTCCACCACCTGAGGGAGACAATTAACAATGCCCTATTAACTAATGAATGATGTCCAATTAACGAACAAACCATGCTTTCTTTAATTTTTTCGTCTTTAATTTTTCCCTGTCTTTGAATTATTCTCTCTTAATAATGTTGTATCACAACAGACCCATATAACGTGCCACGGGGCGACTCTGTTGTGAAAGGCGCTATATAAAAATAAATAGAACTGAATTTTATTGAACTGAATGTGTGACCTCAGGATCCTAAGAGCTCGTTCCCAGAATCAGCCAGGACTGTAAGTCATGCTAATTACAGCTGCCTCCGCCCAGATAATGAGTTCTACATGACTCATATAAGTGGATATTTATTTAACAAGTGTAATTTTTACACAGATGATTGTATTACGATGTGTTACATAAACGATATTGCTGAAGAAAGGTTAGATTTTAATTCACTCTGTTTAATTCAAACGGAAATTTGAGGGGGGGGGGGGGGAAAGCACTCAGGCACAAAGTGCGATGTTCTGTGTCAGGCTGCCATTTAGCGCGTGAAAATCAATCTTTCCGGCAGCTTAGTTAATACCTTAACGTAAAAATTGCAACACGGCGTATGGCGATGAAACAGCAGCCCCTGTGAGAACGTCACTGTGAGCTTATCGTCAAGGCTCAGTCAGGGCAGATGCCGTCCCGGCGTCGATAAGGGCCAAAATAACGATCAGAAAATCTTGCCGATGAATATTCAACAGTGAGAGAGAAAGCCGATCTCCCCAGGAAGGCTCGCTCGTCCCCGCCATCTCCCATCAATTCTTGTTCGTCGTGCGGGGGCCACGGAAGGGCAACGCTCATCGTAAGCGTGAATCGCCAACCACGTGCTTGTGCTTTAATTACGACGAGCAAGCTACGGAAACAAAACAATTCCTTGGCATGCTAATTTTGTTATCGTCCCCTAGGGATAACAAGGCGATATGTGTGTGGTTTTTATTACAGTGCTGACTCTCTGTTTCCTTAGCGGACACTGTTCTAGCACACAATGCACGTAACCAAAAAGCCACACAGCACTGGACCTTTAGGTCACATGACCTGAGTGTCGAGACGAATGATTACACTGCCGTTGACAAGCAAACTGCAATGCTCTGAGCTCGAATCAAAGCTTAGTGTATAATAGGCCAGAAATGTCTCACATCCCGCAAGCAACCCAAGCCAACAGGTCAGGCGACCGTAGGAGCCGCTTAGCAAGTGGGTCAGACACAGCGGGATTAACTGGCAGAGAGGCCCCAGGCTGTATTTAACTGGAGAACAATGGGTGGGGCTGCTAGACTAATAGCAAGGTGGCATGGTGGACAAACGATCAGCTAGAATGCTAACACTAGAAGAGCTGGAAGAAAAATGAACTAATTTCATTGGCAATGCAATAAAACAGAATTATTATAAATTATACTGTTATATTATTGTATCAGATTCTGTTTACATCTGAGCATTATGATAGAGAATCCCCCAGTAAGAGGGCATGATAAGGAGCTTTGCTCAGGCTCTGACAGGGTGCTCAGGGCCCGGGGACGTGCTGAACACTGCCCTCAGATAAGAGCTTCAGCAGCCGGCCGGAGCGTGCAGTGAGAGAGCAGAGCAGCACGTTGCATTTCAGTGCTTCTCACGATTCGCCACGTTATCAGGGGCTGGAGGTTCGGAGCACCAGGCACCGCCAGTAGGGGCTGGAGACGGCGTTGCTCACGGAGATTAAGAGAGGAAATTCCAAAGTGAGCCAACAGCGCCTTCTAGGGAAAATCTCATGTCATTGCAACTAGAAAAAAATAATGTTGGATTCCTCGAGGTGATACATACAATTTATTACATTTATTAATACCTAGTGGCAGTGCCATGGCCATTAATACATTAATACATTATCTATAATGGATTTTTAATCATTTAACAGAACCACTATATATATATACTCATAACAACCAGGGTATGAATTACTTTAACTGAAGCTGGGTATGAATTACTTTAACTGAAGCTGGGTATGAATTACTTTAAATCCACTTTCCACAAGAAAAGAAGGTGGTCGCTCTACATCCTCTCTCTGTTGTGTAGTTTCACTATAAATATACGACTTATACTGAAGTCTGTATGGGGCAGAGCTGCTGTCATAATGGCTAATCCAGAACAGGGTCAGAGTGTAACCAGCAGCATAGCCCTGTAAGCACACAGGGAAAGAAAGCAGGCTGAATGGGATTCCAGTTCATTGAGAGGGTGGTGGTGGTGATGGTGTACCTGTTTGACATTCTCCGCCAGGAAGACGAAGTAGACGCTGCAGAAGCCCAGCTGGGTCAGCACCAGAAAGAAGTTCACCAGATGTCTGTATACACAAGAAGGGCCCACATGGCGTCAGGCAGGAGCGGGGCAGCCTAGAGGGGCTCGGAAT